GCGCTGCTGGAAGGGGTGCAGGAGGCTGCGCTCCAGGTCCCACTGCCTTGGGATAAAGCAGTCTCTCTCCTCTGCCCTTGTAAAATGGCACTGAAAGTGCTAGGAATGCCAGAGTGTGATGTGTGTGCGGGGGTAGTTTGGGCATTTTCCAGCTCCAGGGTGCTTTATTTTCTGGGGGTGTAAGTATATATGTGTGTGTGTATGTGCATGTACGCATATATACGCAATAAAATAATAAATATTTTTTTAATAAGAGTAAAAAAATAAATACAATCTTAAGACTTTATGACTGCTTTATTTTAAAGTGCTTTAAGATTTAGCATTTCGATTTTAAGCTTTGCCTGCTAGCCATTCTTTGCATCCTTTGTTTTTCAGATGTATATAGCACTGATTTCCCTGCATGCTCTAATCATGGTGGGATTTCACTTCTTGTATTGCTTTGAAGAAGACTGGACAAGTGAGTACGAACAAGGGACCTCTTCCAAATATCAGATTAGCTTATGAAGCAGATCTTAGAATGAGCTTTGCTTCTAAGGCAACCCCTTTTAATGCTGGTTTCAGAGGGATGTTCTCAGGGCTCTGTTGTGCTAGCCCTACTTTAAAAATCAGTCCTGGAATTTAATAATTCTGTCTGACCTGCTAGTGTCTCTGTCCTGAAGAGAGAAGTCTTGTTTAAACTGAAGCGTGAGGCTGTCAAGGTAGAATCTGGGACGTAAAGACTCCTAGAGAGTATTTGTGCAGTAATCTACTGTTTATACAAATACTGCACTGATTTCCTGAATGTCAAAGCAAGATAAGAAGAACCTGTATGCCCTTATTAAAAGGGTAACATGAATCATTCTTGCAAGACTGCCAGGAAAGCACGTTAGCTTAGATCCAAAAATCCACCCTCACAAGAACAAACAATTCCTCTCCATTTGTAAAAAAAACAAAAACCAAACAAAACAAAAAAACCCTACTGGACGGTGCTCTGCAGTGTCCACCAAGTACATTCTCACAAAGTTGTTCTCTCTTTGTTTGTTTATTTTTGAAGGACGTACGACACAGGAAACCATCTAGGTAATGTTGAGTCAGACAGCTAGCTGTTGAAGGACGTGCGTGCAGGGCTCTGTGTGCCACTTGCAGATTTTTTTGGAAGAGCTTAATTTTTATTGGAATTTAATTCTGTCATTCAGCTTGCCATAATGACGAGTTTGGGTAAATAATGCTACAGAAGATGCATGCATATACCCATTTGCACTGGACTTTTGGCAAGGTTGTTCTGCAGAAATTTGTCAGGTGCCAAATGACACTGATTAGACTGTAATGGCCAAGGCCTTGTGGAAGGGATATGTCAACGGAGGATGTTTCCTCTGCCCCTTTTTTGGAGCCTGGTCCGTGTGGTTGAAGCACTTTCCCACTGGCCCCAGGTTAAGGTGGCAGAACAGAGATGGATGTGGCCTTGCTTCTGCTTTGGATCTGTACTGGTGGTGTTGGCCCCTGGTTATTGCATGCCTGTTAAAGGTTAACGTTTCTCACAGAGGGGAAGTATTTTAAGTGATACCTATTGATTTCAGAGAAGTCTGGAAAAATTCTGATGAACCAACTCAGTATTTTCTTCCATCTTCCTTTTTCTGCTTGCACTTTAAAGGACAAACAGACATTTTCAGCTTTCACTGGAGGTTGCCATGAGTTTGCATTATAGGTAGAGTATGAGGGGAAAAAAAAAAAACACAAGAATTTGGCTTAGTTTACACTTATTTGGGTTATGACTTAGAGGAGCTATAAAAGAAAGCAAGCTCTATTTTTATAATGGTGCAGAAGCAATCTTCTTCCTTTCTGACCACCAGCTTGATTTCTGATGGACTTTTTCACTATGGTAAATATCGCACTTGCAGGAGCGATCTTTTCATGTTGCCTATCTTCAAGACTGTCAAAACTTCCCCTATACCTTTTTGAGAATGGTCCCCGTTGTAGTTTATTTTTACAATTTGAGCAGGGAAAGCTTGTAGATGAGCAGATGTTTTGCAGCTGCTGCATTATCCGATCTTTCCCTTTCCAACTCCACTGCTTTTCCTTCACAGAATGCAGCTCCTTCTCACCGCCAACTACAGTGATTCTTCTTATCCTCTTGTGTTTTGAGGCTCTCCTATTCCTCATCTTCACGTCGGTAATGTTTGGGACCCAAGTACACTCCATCTGCACTGATGAAACGGTGGGTGTCTCACACTCCTCTTCACCCTGTCTCTCTGGCCAATTGTAGAAACAGTGAAATGTTACAGGCCTCAAGCTCACTGTTAAGGGGGGTTGTGTATGTGTGTCCTTTGGGGAAGAAAATGCTCCAACAAACTGAGTAAGCACAGTTTAGCTTACAGTGGGCACATTTGTATTTGTAGGCTGGGATGCTGTGTTGGCAGTAACTTTGGTAAGGTAGCATTGGTAAAGGGGTTACTCTCTATAGAGCATTTGTCCCTGTGGATTGGAGATTTTTCCTTTTCTGGAATGCTGTCAGGCTGGTGTCATTTTCAGTTCTGCTGCAGATGCCCTGGCATCAGTGTTTGCAGCTTTATGAGTTAGGCAGCCGAGTGGGAGGGTCCAGTGAGGTGGAGGAGGGATTGTTTTTTCCCCCTAAGCCTGGGAAATGGCCAACTTTAGTCACTTGTTAAACAATTCAAGAAGTCTTGCCAGGTGGGGAAAAAAAATATCTAGGTGCATGGTAACTTGGTGGCTACATTCTGCTGCAAACCCACGTTATCTCCAATTGAAAGGCAGAGGTTACTTATAGAGGTTACTTAATAGAGGTTACTTAATGCTGAAGTACTTCATACATCACTGAAATTGCCCACTTTTGCAAAGATGGAGCCTGTGACTCCTGGTGATGTTTTCATACCTGTGAAAATACTGCTGGCCTTCACCAAGCACGCTCAGACATCTGTGGTAGCTCGCCCCAAGAGACTGCAGTTAACTTGAGAGGTTGAAGGCAGCAATTGCCTTAAAAGAGTGGCAACTCTTCTTGCCTCCTTCCTCCTCCATGAGTTTTCCTTCCTCTTCACTTGTTTGTGCATGGGCAGCTGAAGCTGGAATGTGTATCCTTGTTGCCATAAGAGAGCTAGAACTGGCGCCATGGTATATAAGAGCCCATCGCTCCTCAGATTTTTCACAGTACTTGCTTTAATGCTGGGCTTCTGCAAGAGAGTGGTGATCACACTGTGCAACTCTTCTGAGTCTGGAGGAAGATCCCCAATTATTTTTTTTTTCTGTTGGGGAGATTCCTGAGAAGAAGTACTGTGTAATACAAAACAACACGATCCTGCCAAGCTTGAGTTTATTTGTTATCACATAAGTCAACAATGCTATCTGTGAAGTCATATCTGAATCTTTCAGTGTTTGAGAGCTTGGCAAATATATTGTGAACCTGCTTCCTACAGCAAGGTACCTGAATGAGTCCTCTGTGGGCTTGTAGGTTATCACCTATGTTACAACCTGGATTAAAATGAAATATAGCCCCACCCTGTGTGTGTCTGTATGGTTGTGTTCCATCTGTTTTATTTTTTTAATACTAAAAGGTAGGGATTTTGAGGTACCTGTAAGAGTCCTCTGTGGGTTTGTAGGTTGTCACCTATGTCACAACCTGGAATTAAAATGAAATATAGCCCCACCCTGCATGTGTCTGTATGACGGTATTCAATCTGTTTTATTTTTTAATACTAAAAGGTAGGGATTTTGCTCATTGGACATTTCTGTGTTGTCCATGACATCTCTTACTTTTGATTTTTAGCTAGCATTGGGCTAGCTGTGTCTGGGATGCAACAAAGCATTCTGTGTGGAGGAATATTCCGGGATGAAAGTCCTCCTGCTGTGGTCTCTTCTGTTTTAGCTCCTGTTCAGAGAGAGGGCTGTGCCTTGCCATTGCTCACCTCCCTCTTCCAGCTGTGGGAGACCTCACCATTCTGTGTATGCTGTCCCACAGAGATGGTCCCTTTCTCCTGGAGGAGACCCACAACCCCCAGTGTTCAGCTGTCACCCCCAGAGATGACGTTACCAAGCATCTCTTGCAGCTGTCCCTGTTGTTTCTGCAGAGCTCTGAGAATCGGGAACTTGAGACACGGATAAATTACAGTGTGTTGATGTGTAGCACAGGAGAGAGATGCAGGTCAGGAAAAGCTTGCCTTCAGAAAGATCCTAAGTTAAAGAGCAGAAGTGCCTGTCTGCTGCTGATACTTGGTAAAGAGCAGTGCTCTCCAGTGACTGCACTGGTTAATTTTGCTCCTGTGGCAGCTAAGTGTAGCTTTCCTGGAAAACCCAATTGACTTGATGGGTTTTAGGTACAATACATTTTTTTTTATGGTTTATTTGTTTGAAGTGAGTGAATGTTTTGGCTGATTTGCTTGGTGGCTTGTTTTTGTTCTCTAACCTTTACTAAACCATGCCAACGATTTCTCTTAAATCAGTGAACATATTTAACCTCCTTCTCCCTGCTGTCAGCCCATGCATGTTTTGGCAGTGATTTTAAGGAAACATGAAGAGGCACCAGGTAGACTCAGCCACACTGAACCATGGGCACTTCCTGAACTTGCTTGGTGAATCTGGGAGCATTATAGAGATTATCTTGGGTTTTTTTTGTCTGCAAGCTTGTAATGATTTCCTCTAAAACTTTTCCATCTGGTCAGCACATAATTCTTTCAGCCATCAAAACACATTCTTTGTGTTTGGTTTTAGTTGATGGGCTTTTTTTTTTTTTAATTGATGGGGTAATTGGAGGGCAGGTCTTTAAAAGTTGGAAAAGAAATTTCCAGGCTTGAACAAAATGAGAGCAGTTTTATTTCCGGGGAATATTTGATATCCTTAATATTTTTATTTTATCATAAAACATTGAAGAGAAAAAGGAGATAGATTTTTGTTTTCTTACTGCATTCTTTGGATAAGGGCTAGCTGAGAGTAGACATTTCCCCAAATCCAGAACTACAAAAATTAACTATTTGACTGAAAATGTGATATTTCTGTTTTCAGGGAATAGAACAGTTGAAAAAGGAAGAGAGAAGATGGGCTAAAAAAACAAAATGGATGAACATGAAAGCAGTATTTGGCCATCCGTTCTCTATAGCATGGCTTAGCCCATTCGCAACACCAGACCAAGGAAAAGCAGACCCGTATCAGTATGTGGTCTGAGGATTTCTTGACCAGCATTTCCACTAAACTAGAAATATATTACAGCACTACTGTTATAATTTTTCCATGAATGTTTAAAACAAAAAGCAGAACAAACTTTTTTTATGTCTATGAGAAATGGCTGATAATTGCAGAAAAAAAAAGCCCTGTATTCCACAACTTTAGATAATTCTATATCTCTGGCTGAAACTGCTGCTGCTTCTTTTGCTTTCTTTTCTTTTTTTTTTCTTTCTTTTCTTTCTTTCTTTCTTTCTTTTTTCTTTTTTTTCCTTCTTTTTCTTTTTTTTTAATCATGTTAACTTTACTGGCCTTTGTTTCTATCCGCTCTCTGTATGGCATAACTAATGTGAAGGGGATCCTCTTTCTCTGCTGTGACCCACCTCTTCCGAGTCGATTCTCCTGCTGTCTCCTGACTGCGAGGAGGAGCTCTGTGGAAGACAAATGAGTGCCAAGTTCTACACAGACACCTTTGGACTCCCTGAAGGAGCCCGTTGCTCCTTTGTAAACGAACTCGAACTGGGAAGTAGACACTTCACTTACCAAAAAGTGCAAGACGAGCGCGACACAGCAAGAGAGCCAGTTGACCTGGTGATCGCTTACAGTTAAAGTATTAAAAACAAATGTTGCCAACACCACTTTTTCCACCCCTTCATCCCAACCTGGCCTTTTTCTTTCCAGCCATAGAACTGATTTCATGTTTCTGGCATTTTTTTTGTCTGTTCCCTCCCTTGTGTGCAGAAAATTGTTGCCCTCCTAGAGTAACTGTGGCAGATTTAGACGACCTTCTGGGTTTTAAATGCCTTACACTTGCAGGAAAACAAACAAACAAAAAAGAAATCTAATTTTCAGGTGTTTAGGATAGCAGGAATATCTGTTTGTGTGTGTTTGTCTTGGTAAACGAGTTGTTAGAGCAATGCCTGATCAAAAATTGTTAATGTAAAAAACTGATATGAATGCCCAGAGGCAGACGGAATGAAATAAAAACTAATATTGATGGGTATGTAGGTGTATCAGGGTGAGTGTATTCTTAGCATTGCCCTGGCGTAGAGATTTGTAAATCTTTTATTTATGCATACATGTGTTATGTGACAGGTACACACACATGTAAGTATCTAAATTGGGAAATTCGGATGGCACGGAGCGTGCATGCTGTCATGAACTGTGTGGGTAATGCAGTGTGTGCTGCTGAAGGCGGGAGGGACCGAAGGCATGCCAAAAACTGGTGAAGTTATAAACCATTCTTGATTACAACCTTGTGCTCAGGCAGGAATTTTGTTATATTTTTGCATCATGACTCTCGTGGGCTTGCAAAAAGATTGTAGACAAAGGAAAGGTGTAAAATCCACAGTGTCCACGAGTCCCAAGGAATCTTGTCTTTCCTTGGTTTCAGGTAGAGTGGTATTTTTGGAAAATGATCTGTTTAGACTTATTCAAAGCCATGGGGAAAGGGAAGGAAATCAGGGAAGGAGAAATTGTTGGACGTCTCACTTTGGAAGTAATGTGAATGCTGCATCTTTTCAATCTGTCAATGCTTCCATATGGAAAACAAATGCAATAAAACTTTTCCAAAAAAAAAAAAAAAAAAAGAACGGTTTGCTCTTATTTTCTTTCTTCACTTTGGCAAAATCTGTAGTGATGCTCTGAGCTTTCACTCTTATACGCAAGCTGGTAGAAGCATATGAAGGTTGACTATCTTTAGCGCTCAACTTTTAAGGTTAAAAATGAGTTAATCGGTGATGTACAGCTCTGTTAATGAGCAGTGTTACTGCCCTGCGTGGACGTGGCTGCCGATACCTGCCTCAGCTGTGTAAATCGAACAGCCCCCGGTCTCCTGCTCGCTCGGGATTAGGTCTGCAGGGATGTGTTGTCGCTTCTGTGCTGTACGACTGCACGTAGAGAGTCACCGTGTCTGCACTTGTGCCTCACTGGAAGATGCTGCGAAGGAAGTATGGCTTTTGCATACACATTTTTTCTTTCCTGATGAGGAAAAGTTACGGAAAAGTTTTGGTTTTATGGTCTGCTGATAGTGATAAGCTATAGTAAATAAGTATGTAGCTCTGATTTTAATACGTGTATGATACGGTTTTCTGCAGATAATGGTACCAGTTTAACAGCTAAGGGTTGGATCTTTGGACACTATGAGTTTAGCTGGAAGGGCGTGTGCAGGTGGTAGCTAGAACTAGTGGAGCATCTGGCCCTCAAGCAGTCATGACACAAAATCAAATCACTTTTATTTTTGCTTTACTCAAAGCAAGAAGCAAGCAAGCAGACCTCGCCATATATTTTATAGCTTTAAAAATGCCTTTGATTGCAAATTCCACTGATGCACATTCCAGTTGTGCTTTATTTAGTTAACTCTTATTGCCTGTATGTTCTGGAGGAAGGTGTGTTGCCTTGTTCTGGTGTTCAGATCATTACTGGAAAAAAAAAGTGTTGTTACTAATTTTTTCTTGTTTCTAACAAATTCAACTTGCTAAGCAATGCTATATAATATTGATACGTTCAACCAAGCTGTTTTGGTTTTAAATGATGTTATCACAGCTTGTAAAAATACCAATTGTTGTCTGTCATTTGTATGCCTTTGTGTGTCTTGGTTCCCTGGGGTTCTCCATCTTACTTGCACCAACCAATCTGGTGGTGCAATTTGGTGCAAAAATTAGCTGATTTTCCTAAAGAAAAGGGTGAGTTGTTTTGTTTTGTCTTTTGAACAGCATTACCTCATTTCAGGTGCTTGTCTTTTTTTAGCATGGCTGAGGGAGGCGGAGGGACAAGCTTGGTCACAGGCACCACCCCTGGCGTTCGAACAGCTTTGCCCACTCGTTAAGGCAGGCAGATGTGGCAGTTGAAGCTAGACAAGCTTCAGAGTGAGGTTAAGGTGATCAACTGACCATTTGGTGTTGGAACAACTTGGGAAAGGTTGTGAGAAATTCTGCGTCAAAGCAGCCGTTCCTACATCACGGTCATGGCTTTGGTCTTTTTGGAGAACTTAACCAGGAATGAATTTAAGGAACATCTAGGCCTTCTAGGCCTTATGTTTTGTGAGGCCTGGAGGTCTCCTGTCCAAGTCTGCCTTAATCATGGTTTTGAATAGTAATATTTGCTGTGCCTTAGCCTTAATTCACACATTGTTACAATGCTGCTTGCTGTGTTTGCTCTTTGCTTTTGGGTTGAAGTGTCAAACCCCTTCGGGGAACCTCACCTATCTCTTAACACACGAGAGCTGTACCTCACCTATCTCTTAACACACGAGAGCTGTGTGGCCGATTGGCCCCCCTGGGCTAGGCTGTCCCATCCTTCTCTGGCAGTGCCCAGGGCTGAGGAAAAGAGCATAGGAAACAGGGCAAGTCAGCTCTAGGATTATTTAGGTAATGCTCAGGTAAAACAGGGAGTTGCTCTTCCTCCCTCTTCCTCCTTCCTCCCTCTCCCCTGTGGGGCAAGTAGACTAAATTGGCACAGGATACAATTTTTAAGAAAATTGTAGAAGAATTGTAAGAAAATTGTAAGAAAATTTTCAGCTTGTTTTGACCCTGAAAGGGTCGATGAAGTGAGATGAGGAAGTTTGACCTGTCCAGGTTGGGTAACTGTCCACTGATCTACACGAGTGCAGCCTCGCACTGACCTCGCTTATCGCCTCCATTAGCAGGTTGCTGTTGAGATGGAGACGAGCGGTATCGGTTTTGGGTTTGCTTCCCAGAAACATTAAGGATTCTTGTTCCCAGTCTAGGTGGTGATAACGGCTGGGTTGGGTTACGCGTGAGAATGAGGGAAGGTTTCAAGCTCGTGCTGCCTGACAGGAGTTTAAAAACTTGATGTGCTTCTCTTCTTGCCCTGTGCCGCTTGATTCTCCTCCCACACACAATAAATACTGCAGCCAGGGGGTGGTTTCCTTCAAACATACGGGATATTTTCCAGTTTTTGTTAAAGAACAGCTGAGCCCGCCTTGCTCCTGTGCTGTAAGTGGCCACGGCACCCGCCTGCTGCCACCTGCCCAGGGCTGTGGCTGCGGGCACTGCTGGGCACAGCACAAGGAGTTTTCCTTGGAATTTTCCCTGGAATGTATTGACTTGGTCAAAACTGGGCGCTTGCAAGCTTGGCACAAGCGCCAGAGCACCGCGCTCTGCGCTGGGCATTGCAGGGTGAACACTGCGCCTCAGAGGCTGGATTTTCCTCCGAATTGCCAACCCGGAAGACTTGAGTTTTGATCCTGTGTAATTTCTCATTCTCCGGATTCGCCGCTGTGTTTCTCTGGAGTCAGCAGCAGAAATGTGACGTGAATTAAGTTTGCAAAAGCTTTGCATTTAATTTCGCTGTTTATGATGTTTTTTTTCCTCCTGGGCCTGCTTATGTTCACTCAGTATTATTGCAAAACCGAACTGCTGTTATATTAAAATGTGTTATTTATAAGACCTACTGCGACCGTGTTTGGGGTGCTGCTGAGTTACTGCATGTATTCATTTTTCCCTGCAAAGTTTGCAAATTGCTTGTGGGTAATTAGAGAAAATCTGCAGATTTAAAACATAACAAGAAGTGTAATTTTTCATCCTGCTGTTATAAAACTGCTGTTTTAAATGATTTTAATGGAACGTGCTTGTTTTTCCTTTTCTCAAGTGTCTCAAAACTTTGATCCAATGTCCCTGCTTTGTTAGGAACATTTTCTACTTTATCATTTGCATTACTGTGAATGTATAATGCTCAGCCCTTGATCTGGCTCCTCTCCTATGTGATGTCAAAGATGCATGTAAAAAAACTGTCTATTTCAGGTACCAGTAACCTTAAAAATGTTCTTAGTGCCATATTTCTATGTGGAAGAGACTACCAGGAAAAGTCACTGCCAAAACTCAAGGGACCTGATATTTGAAGTAAAGTGAAAATGTTTTAGTAAGGTGATGCTCTTAGAAAGAGAATGCATCAGAATATTGACTGACCAAGGCCAAGAGAAAATGTTGAGTCCTGGTTTGAGTTTTCAGCTTCAGTCCATGCTGCACAAACACCTGCTTTAAGTGTGAAACAACCCCAAACTCTTCTCTTCTTGCAGGGTATTGAGCGTCTTAAAAATCAGAAGCCGACTTGGGAAAGGATCAGCGGCTGGGAAGGAATGAAGGTGGCCTTCGGTGGTGCTTTCTCCTTGGGTTGGTTCAGTCCTTTTTCGAACCTGGACTGTAAAAACCCACCCTCACCTGAAGCAGCAGCAGCCCCTGCGTCCGCGATTATGACCCAAGAAGAAATTGAGCAATTTCTAGCTCAAGACGTCGCAGTCCAAGTGTTACGTGAATAAGCAAGGCATCTTCCAAGACTTCAAGAGACGCTTTCAGGTTTTTTTTTAATAACTTTGTGGTGAAGATTTAGGGGATTTTAAAACGGACTTTTGGTGAGGGAAAAAAAAATCATGAATATTTATCCAGAAGCTGGGTACAACACTAGCAGAAGCAATGCAAATCTCCAGTGAAAGCTTTATGGATGACGTGATTCATAAGCTCCTTTTCAGTTGCTTTATCAAGCTTTTCTGTTGTGGCCTTTAAGGAAAGTCCGTAATTGTTGATAGGTTGGTTGCAGCTGCCAGAAATGTGCAATCGCAGAGGCCCTATTTCTCTTTTGTTCCTATAACCTTTCGGAGGACTGAAAGAGATGGCCAGATTAGCCCAGTTCTTATGGGCTTTTGAAAAAAAGGCCTTTTCTTAGCTCTTCTTATGGATGCTGTCCGTGGGTTACGAGAACTGGGCGAGTTTAGACGTGGGCAGAAGTGAGAATGAGCTGAGCCTAGGTGCGATTCCCTTGTTTAGGCTCCCTGCGGATAGCTTAACCCATGCACCTGGGGCAAAATATCCCTACGGATAGCTTAACCCATGCACCTGGGGCTGCGTGGGACCTTTTTTTTTTGCTTATCTTAGTAGTACTTGACATGATTCAGGTTTTCCTTAGGCTCATTTTGCAAGCAACTCATGATGAGCAGTGATTGCCTTTACCAGTGCCATAACTCTTCGGAGTAGCTCCTTGTTTATGAGGATTAAATGTGACAGAGAGCTCGTGCATTGCCCAGGGAAGATGGGGATTGCTGCAGATCGTGGTAATCACTGCGTAAAAAGATGACACTACCTGCTGCCTTCAAAACGCTGCAGAGGCTCTGCATGTTCCAGATGTTGCTGTAGTTTTGACTTAGTCCTCCCTTCCTTCCTCCCTTTTCCTTCCTTCCATTTTCATATTGTCTTCCACCTTAACTTACTTTTCAGGAAAATTTGCAGGATCTAAGAAATCACATATTACTGGTTGCCACCACAGGCTGTGTTTGATTTTGTCCAGCCCCAACCTGGAAACAGGACAAAGTTGATTGTTTCCTATGGGAAATAAAATAAACGATTTAAGGGAAGAAGGGGTGGAACAGGGAAAGATCTAGCTTTAGCTTTTTTATTATTATTATTATTGTTGTTATTATTGAAGCAATACCAAATGGAATTTGTATATATATATTTTCCAAAACAGCATTTTAATATGTATTAGTGGTGTGACATTCACATAGCTCACTGAGGGACGGGGCTTGTCCTCTGGCACTGCAATCCTTTTCCAGTCAAGGGACTGGGGGCTGTTGATAAAGTGAGTCCAGTGACTTGGCTAGAAAATGTCCTGCTTTTTAAATGAAAAACAGGCAAAAAAATCTGCAGGAACTGCGTATTTGTACAGAGGTTTTAGTTAAAGAAAAAACCACTCTGTACGTGGCAGGAGCTGAGGAGTCCTCTTGTGTCACTGGGACATGAGGGCTCGGATGCATTTGCTCCGTAGAAGGGCAAGAGCAGCCGCAGAGGGACTTCATGCAGTCCTAGAAAGCTAAAACTCCCCTTTTAGCTGATGTTTCCTCGTTCTGGTTTGTGGTTCAGCCTCCACAGCCAGCTAAGTTCTCTGCCTCCATTATGCAGGCAAAAGGGGTTACAGGATCTGGTACGAGTCTTCCCCCGTCTTCCCCAGTCTCTTTCCCCTAGAGCACTCTCTAGTTTTCTAACCTGACTGATGGCCCAAGAGCAGGAAAAAATGCCCCAAATTGGAAAATAGCCTCTCATTATCTTTCTTTGCACTGACAAGAGAGGGAAAAGATTTATCTATCTGGGGTTGGCCAGAAACCTGTTTCAAAAAGCTTCTGTCAGGAAGCAAGTCAACGTCTTCAGAGCAAAAGGATCTCTCTCTCTCTCTCTCTCTCTCTCTTTTTTTTCCTCATCTGAACCTGTAGGTTGTGATTTTCATTTCTGTGAAGAAATGGGTTCTCCACTCCTTGGAGAAATTACAGTCACAAGAGGAGACAGACGAGGACCACGTCCCTGTACCGTGCACAGAGCTGCGGGACCCAAGGGCAGCCCCCTGTGCTGGTGTCCCCCTCGCCCAGCTGGGCCACCCCAGCTCAGTGACTTCTCAGGCCTGGCAAACTGCTCTGGGGTGTCCCTCGGTTGTCCTCTCCTCCTCACCCGCAGTGGGGTAGCAACAGGCTCTCTCCTGCTCCACTCGTCTCAGTGTAGCGTGGTGAAAAGTCCAAAACTGCAGCAGTCTTCCTGAGATGCAAAAAACTTGTTTTATCCCTAGGTTGAGCATAAACCTCTTTCCGTAATGACTGGCTGGTAGCTTGAGACCAAACATGACTTGCAAAGCCGAAACCAAACTCACCACTTTTCTCTCCTTCCGTCCATGTGCTTGTTGCCCCTTGTTAAATGGTGCCTTAGTCTTCGGACCAGATTACTTGATTGCTGCTATGAATTTTCATGTTGTCCACAGAGCTGTGGGTTCCCAAAGAGGCCAGGGCCTGGTGATAGGCTCGTGTCACGTCTGGCTTGTAAGGGACGGGTGACCATGGTGTGCTGTGAGTGTGGGATACCTTGGGGTAACGCTCTGCCCCACTGTGTTGTGCTTTCCATGAAGGAATTGCGAAGCTTTCCAGACATGTGACCCACTTGAAACATGCTTGAGATCAACTTGCTGCTTCGGTATGAGTTGTTGAAGGTGGAGATGTGCAAAGTACTCCTGTGCTTTATATCCGGTGTCTTCTAAAGCAGCCTTTCTATGCAAGAAAAGAATTTACATCTCTTACAAATATATATATATATATTTTGCTACTTGTAACTCATTTTATGCCTTCAGTTGCAACTGTACTTATTAAAAAAATTAATCCTTCCACCCCCAAGAACCGTGTGCTCCATCTCCGCTCTGGGCAGTCGCTATCCGTACGGCATGGAGGGAGGGTGTCCATGCTCCGGGGGTTGCTGTGCCATGGGAGGATAAGCAGAGCAAGAGCTGGGCGCAGGAGGGCTGTGGGAGGACCTTGTCTGGCCCCTTCTCGTCGCTGGGAACTGGGCAATGGGGTGGGACACTTTGTGGATGTTTGAAAGGAGAGATGACATTGCGTGAGGGATAGGTGCCCCCCGTTTCTCTGTTGGAAACACCCATGCTGGACTTGCACGGGATGGTGGATGTGGGCAACCTGAGCTGGGTGAAAGCAGTGCATAGCCAACATCAAACTGCTTTGTGGTTTTTGTTTGCTTCTTTTTGTGTGCTTTTGGCTATCCTAACTGGCACTGCAGGACGTGACACAGTCTCCTCCCATGTAGCTCAGTGATTCTTTTTAATAAATTTATGGTGGAGGCCTGGAAAAAATGGAGATGCCAAAGGAAAGTAATTGCTGCAGTGGTTCCCTCCACCCTGCCTGTGTTGAGCCAACCCTTGGTGCTCGTGAGGCAGGACCTCCTGAATCATTTTGTTGGATGCTAAGTTGATGCTTTGCAGACTTGTGACTAACTGAGAGGGACAGGAACTGCAGAAATCCAAGTTGTTCGGGACCACATTGGCAGTAACGTTCCCAAATAATTCAGGGCATAAGGGGAGAAAGTCACCTCTTGCTCCAGGCCACCCGTTGGCTCATGTAGCCCGGGAACAGGAGCACAGCACTGTGCTTCTGGTGACTTTTTTTCTTCTCTATAAACTTCCATGACATTACTTTCAAGTAATTGGTGCCAATCAAGGCATTAAAGGGATTTTGTTCATACTAAAGCTTGCCCTATCTCTCTGGAGGAATTTGCTCTCCCCTGGTGCTGGTGCCCTGTGTAGCTCTTCCTGGAAGTACTCCAGAAATGCACTAGCTGGGTTCCTGCGTGTCATCTTGCAGCCATCAAGGGGGTAGGGAGGAGATAGAAATGATATATATATTTTCAATTTTCCAGGAAAGCTTTGGTAATGGTGTTGAAGATGTTACCTCTTCTAAACACCCCCAAGGGCTCTCCCAAAAAAATGGGGTGAGAAGGAAGATGTAAAAAAGTTGGTGTTTTGGAAAACCATTCCAGCTTTGCTCATTTTGCTGTTTAAAGATATAAAAGGGCTCAGCCACAGTCGCAGCACAGCCTGGCCAGGCCCCGGGGTGACCTCCCGCTCCTGGCAGCACCACGGCACTGCCAGCCCCTTTTGGTAACTACTATCCAGCAATCAAGAAGGCAGAACATGTCATTGGCATACAGCTGTGTTATGCATCTAGCAAGTCACCATCTACAGCCCACCAAGGCACTGATCCTACTCGGCGATAGTGATGGTTTTCTCCACAGATATCCCCTTGACCTGGATTGAGGCCAGCGTGGCTACTATTTTCTTCTCTCCTGCTCTCTTTGGAGTGCAGATTATTCTGGACTTAATGATCTTACCAGGCTCAATGTCCCTAAAGAGAAGAAAAGAAAAATCAGAGCCTCAGCATGAGTTTCTAATCATTTCACTTAATTATTTTAATCATTTCACTTAATCATTTCAATGCTTTCTAATCATTTCACTTGGAGAAATAGGCATCAGATCTGTTTGGTGCTGATGTTTCCCCAGTCCTGTCAGCCCCGCTGGGTCTGGCTGATGGTCCCAGCACTCTCTGGGGACAGAGCTCCCACTCCTGCCCCATGCTGCTGAAACACTGAATTTTGGTCTGAAAGGTTCATGTTGGCTGTGGGAACAGTGCTGGGAAAATCCTCACATTTTCTGAGCGCACCAAAGGTGTGACCTGTGTCCAAGTGGGCCACAAGCCCAAATACTACATTCAAAGGGACATTTTCCTCCTGGTCCCCTCTCTGCTCCTTTAGGAGGAATTAGAAAAGTACAGCTCTGCCAAGCTCACAAGGTACGTACTGATTTAATAATGGGCCTGGGATTACTCAAAACTTTGCCTTACCCTTGATCAAACGTGGTCAGCTTAAACATGCCCAGGCCCTCCACACACAGCTTGCAGTCTTGCAGGGCCACACTCAGCGTGTTCTTGAAGACGAAGGCGCAGGAGAACTCCTCGTCCACTTTCGCCGTCTCTGGCATCTGACAAGTGAAGGGGGAAAGGGCATGAACGCCGGGCTCGGGCTGCTGATGGAGGCCATCAGTGCTGGACCTGCTGCTGTTTTGCTCTGAACCCCCCGGCCCAGGTTTGGGGCACTCAGATGGAGGAGACTGGTCTGGGTGACCCTGGGAGTCCCTTCCCATGGTCCCTGCATAATCGCACACAGACACGTGCTACCACCAGCACATCTGTGAGCATCTGGCCCTTCTCCGCCTGCACACCGTGCTCTGCCCCTCTTGCTGTTTCTATTGCTCTATTCTGGTTTCTCAACCTCTTTTTTTCCCTTTTGCAATGTGGTCTGAAGCCAAAGACAGGCCCTGTATAAACTGTCCTCTCCCATCCTGCTCTTCCAGCCCATTCCACACACCACAACAAAGTCTTTATTTTATGATCCCTTCCAAGCCTAACATAGGTCAAATAAAACCCCAACTCAGAACACACCAGGTTGTTTGCCTGGGAGAGCCCCACATCCAGGATGTGGTCCCTCAAAACCCTGCCGTTCGTGCTACATAATGTGGCTGCTCTGGCAAGCTTTGAGCTGGGTGTGCACTCTGCTTTTGGAACCTTTGTAGGAAACCTTGGCATTAAAGATAACAGGACTTTCCACCCTTGACTTGGAGGATGCTGCCTCACCTCGACAGTGATGGGGGGGTACTGGAAGGTCAGCGACATATCCTTGGCGAATTTTTTATCCGTTCCCTCGATCTCGGCGATGACAGTGACTTTGATGACATCTTCATCTCCCACTGAGGCCAGCATCCCCATGTATTTGTCAGCCGCTATTTTCAGAGGGACCTTCCCTTCTGCAGGGGGAAAAAAAAGTGACAATGTGGCTCTATCATCCACCAAAGAACGGGGCAGCAAAGCCAAATCTGACCGCAAACGTCTGCAGTGCTGGTGGGACGTGTGATGAGGGGCCACCACCACACAAAGAGCCAGTAGAGACTGTGCTATCTCCCCACCAAACACCAGCTCTGCCTTGTGTGCAGCATCTCCGCAGCACAGCTCAGCATGTCCCCAGCTGCCCCTGAGATGGCTGAGGAACATCCGTGTGCACATTCAGCACGTGGGTGCACGCAGCCGAGCGCGCTCCCCCTGGGGAAGGCCCTGCGTGGAGGCAGGGAGTGCTGCTCTACAACTCACTGCTTGCGCCTTGCTTCAAATCTCCAACGGGTCATAACTTATCCTGCTGCAGTTTGGCAGCCACATGTGTGAAAACACTCGGAAACCACCAGCAGCATGGATTTTTTTTTTTTTTTTGCGTAAGTGACTCATTCTCGGAAGGAGTGAGTGCTGCTCATTATCCACCGCTTGCTATTCTCTTGTTTAGTGAACTTCAGTCGCAGTGCTGGGGATCAGAAATGCAACCAATGTAGCTCAGAGGAAACAGCTCTCAGCATCAGCTGCAACAGCAGCTCAGAGGCTGGATTTTTTTTCTGGACAAAGGATTTAATTTTGCAAAAATAACAGAGGAGTCATCAAAACTGCAACCAGCTCATCAACATTACAGCAGCAAGACCAAGAAAGAAGAGACTGACATTTTCAGCCTAAACCCTGTCAGAGGGATCTGACCGATCACACTCATGCAACGCTCCTAGGGCTGTGTTGTGCACGATACCTGCAAGCAAGACACACAGGCACACCTCACCCGCACAGTGCTAACGCCTGCCCACTCAGAGAGAGGTATTTCTAGGTATTTCTAGATGTATTTCTTTGAAATTGCAGCAGAGGCAGGGGCTGTTCCAATGCTTTGATCCCTGCCACAGTACGGGGATCCCAGTCAATGACTAAGGCTCTCAAAGGCGCTCGTCACAAGAGAGGTAAGTAACCTCTAAGCAGAGCCATTACACCTTTAGGAAAATCACAAACTGTCACAATTGTCACAAGAGAGGTAAGTAACATGCAGGCAATTTCTTGTCTTTCTGCTATACAGAGCCATGGTCAGACCTATAGCAGAGCCATTACACCTTGTCTTTAGGAAAATCACAAACTGTCACAATGAATAATCTACAGAATATAGCTGAGACCTCTGTGCTTACCAGATTTGCTTTCAAGCTTGATGGTCTCCTTGATGCATCCAATATTGGCCTTAATTTTTCCTGTATAGGACTGCAGCTGGCAGGAGGCAGCAATATGGATGGTCTGGCTCTTGGGAGCAAAGGTCTTCACTATGATGTCCAGATCAATAGGCTTGCCAGGATACAAAGGACTTTTGCTGGTTATCTCAAGCTCGAGCTCAGGCTTGGGGGGCTCCTCGTCGTGGTCCCTAGGGCTAGGGCCCACATTGTCTCGCATCCTAGCCCTGGGAACGATGGCTGAAGCATAGCGTGTCCCAGATCCGCTTCCTGAGAGGAAGGAGGTAGCTGTCTGCATAGACAGTCTTTCCTTTAGTGAGCCTGGATGAAGAAAAAACCTGGGTAATCAACTGTATCTTAGTGTCCTCGCTCAGAGTCACCTTCATTTTATTTATCCTTCTGCTGCTGTGCAGAGAGGATCTTGGCACCCCAATTGCCTCCTGACTCAGGAGACTCAGGTAGCTTTACACTACCACCGGATCTAACTGTGGCTTTTTGGACTGATGAAGGTCTGGAGGAATTGCCTGGAGGAGACACTTTTAGAGGATGGCACCCTTAAGCTTTCTAGCCTGTGAATGTCCCATTCCTCACAGAGAAGGGTCCGATTCTCCAGCCCATCATGTCTGGGTCTGAGGCAGGGAGAGCTGAGGAGAGAGGATTATTTTTTCCTAATGTGATCTGAGGATTGGAAAGACTAAAGGGAAAGAATTGAAGCAACAGCGAGCTGGACCACTCTTGGCTTGTTGCTCGGCCCATTTCTTTCACTGCCTGCAGGCTTGCTCACACCTCTCCCAGGACAGCAGCCCGTAGGTGTCACTGCAGGCACCGAGGTCTCCAGGAGCAGAGCTGCCTCCCCCAGGCTGCACAATGGCATTTGCCATTGCAGCTGCCCCTGCGCTCTCCTCCTGGGAATAACGCTGCGGGATGACCTATGTAGACAGCCCTCCTCTGTGTCACTGCTTTATAGGAGGGGGCAGTCACCTTCAGGGTACTTGTACTGCATGGTGATGTCTTCGCGCTTGTTCTGCCCCACGGCTTTGGTGCTGATGTTCTTGCCGGCGGCGTTGGTAACCACAGCGAGTTTGGTGTGTTTATTCCGGCCATTCACCACATTCACCTTCCAGTAGACTTTGTCAGCATTCACTTCCGCATACACAAACTTGCTGTCGTAGTTCACATACACGTGCCCTTCCAGGACAGCCTTCAGCGGAGACGGACCGCACTGGTAAACACCTAGGAAGCACCTTGAGTATCATTCACTTTTCCAAGGATAAGCAGAGCCTCCAACTACTATTCCACCTACCAATCCCTCTCCCCAGAAGTGGGACCTTGTTGCCGTGGTAGATGACTGTTAGCACTCCTCCAATGCAGTTACGAACTCCAGAAAAACTAATTTCTACAATAGCTTTTTTTTTTTTTCCCCAGAACCAACTGTGTTTTCATCAAAGATGCATCCTGCAAAGGTCTCCTGAGAGCCTTTATTTGCTTTTCTGTCTCTTCATAATCATCTTAGGGTTTGAAAGTCACAACTGTGTGATGGAGTCCACTGAACCTGGGCACCTGGGTGCACCTCTTGGCAGTATCTGGCCTACTGAGAGTTGTGTTCCCCTTCCTGCCTCTAGATTCCCCCCATCTCTGCGGGGAAGGTAGTGGTCAATTTTGGCAGGACTTCCTTACATATAGAAATGATCAGGCTCATGCCCTTCATGGGAAAGCTTTATAGAAATTGTGATTAGGCAGGAAAGCTGCAGGCATCTCCATAGAGTTGTCTAGAGCACTGGACAAAAGTCTCTGCAGTGATTAATGGTGCTGCTGCACTTTTCCTTGCACCTCATGCCCAAGTGCTTAGCGAGGCACGGGGTAACTCTGGACTTTGTTGATCAGGGACCCTGATTTCCATATGAAATTGCTCCCTGCCCCAGGAGTCACAGAAGAGCCTTGCTAGGCATCTCCTACCTTGACTTTGCTCCTGAGGGGTCGAATCGATGGCCTGCCAGCCGTCAAACCCAGCTGGCAAGTCCGGACGCTTCATCCACACATCATTCCACACATGGAAGTTCCTGGGTGCATTTAGGGTAACATGAAAAGGAACAAACAAACAACCAAACAACAATTATTGGCTCACAGCAGCATGAAATGCACCTCCAACATATACACGTCTGCTTTATCCTCCTAGAGGGATGGGTTAGTGGGGATTTGATTACAGGTAACCCCAGGACTTCTGTCTCTTTCAGGCAGCAAGCCCCAAGCAATAGGGAAACGCTCAAAGGAGGGCATGCTTGCGCTGGGACACATCATGTACATGATATGATGCAGGGAGGCTGGCAAGTGTTAGCCCCCTTTGGCAATTACCAGATGGAGTCCGATGTCAGATTGCTCAGTGGCTCTCTATTTTCATTCAAGTAAATGTCCACTCTCAGGTTTTCCTCTGTGTCGTGTGCCGAATCGAAGTTACTCACGCTCCGGGATGGGATCCCCAAGCAGCGCATGACTGTGAGAAACAGACAAAACATGGGTTCACAGAGCTGCCAAGGCTGGGGGCACCTCTGCAGATCGTCCAACCTCTGCGCTCAAGCAGAGTCACCTTGAGCAGGTTGCCCAGGGCTTTGGAGTAGCTCCCAGGATATCTAGGATATGCAGGACTATCTCCACAGCCTCTGTGGGCAACCTGGTCCAGTGCTCTGTTACCCTACAGTACAAAAAGGGTTTTTTTTTTTTTTTTTTTACAATCATATGGACCTGTCTGGGGTTTTGGTTTACACTCGTTGCCTCTTGTCCTGTCACTGGGCATCGCTGAGGAAAGACTGGCTCCATCATCTTTATTTCCCCCACATCAGATACACACAGACATGGATAAAATCCCCCTGAGCCTTCTTTCCTCCAGGCTGAACAGCCCTACATCTCTCAGCCTCTCCTCATATGAAAGATCCTCCAGGCCCATAATCAAAACTTCATGCCCAAAGGGCATGCAGAAGTTTCCCTGCCACCCCAGGGCACTCAGGAAGGGTGCAGGAATTAGGTTTAATTGCACAGGAATTGGGATAACTGCAAGGGAGGTTGTTCACTGTTTACCTGTAGTGAGGACTCCTGAGAAGACCCAGCACTGACCATAAAGCACAGACTGCTTCGTTTTGTAGTACTGCTGCAAAATTGCAACACTCCCCACCCACACAAGAGGGGAGGTCCCGCCGGTGTACATCCCTGACCAGTTCCCCATCAAGACGCCTCTGTCATCGTTGGCATTGACCTGTGGCACATGGACACACACAGAGGAGACAAATTCAGGGTTAGGCTGAATGTGGCTTAAACCTCAAGGTCCCTTCCCAGCCTGTTCTTCCCCATGTGCCCTCCTGCCCTGTGACTCCCCGTTGAGGCTGCCCTGAGATTCAGGGTGGGAGAGAGCCTAGTGGCTCAGGGCAGCGGTGGCACAGGCTGCATTTTGCATCCTAAACCCCAGGGCCCCAGAAAGGATGCAGAGAACAACTGCCTTATTTCCAAACTGCCAGGAGGAGGGCAGCCCCCAGTGTTGTGAGCTTGGGAGATGCTTTATTTTGTTCATCCCTTCTCTCTGCCCAAAATTTCCTCTGGCTCTTCCCTTGCAGTTTTCCAAAGGAATCTATTGAAAATTCATTCCAAAATGGTGATCAAAGCCCCAGGGAGAGAAGAACAAATAAGGAGGAAGAGGAAAAGCTGGAGTGGCAAAGCCCTTCCACAAGGGAGCCATACCAAAGCAGACATGGCTCTGGACACAAGCACAGGATCCCTTCTAGCGTTTGGCTTGAGTTTGCTTTGGTCCAGTAGATACATGCAGGATTCCAAGACTAAGTCCTCAAACTGTTTTGGAGAGAAAATGAAGACATTCTTACATACTGCTGTAAAATAGACTTTGTTCCATCTCTACGTCATCTCTTCAGGTGCTTGGTGAAACTGACTACTCCTGACTTCTAAACTTGCTTTATGATGCTGAATGAACCCAGTTCTCCAGCCATTGGGACTGTCTCCAAGGCTGTTTTCTTGTAGCAAGGGCTTAGGTGACAGACCATGTTGGAGGGAAACTATGTAAGACTCACTTTGTCATGTGCCTGCAAACACAGGTAACATACAGAGATAAAGAGTGTTGGGTCAGGTGTCAGCTAAGTTACCTACATCATCTCACTGAAGTCTCACAGATTACTCACAGGACTGATGAAAATTTGAGAGACCCAAAGCTATCCAATCTATTGACACACATACAAAATACACCCTGAGGGAAGAAAAAAAAAAAAAGAAAAGGTACATAAAGGCTGCACAAGATTCCTCATTAACAATTGCTGATAAAGTTCCCTTAGGCCCCATTCATAGAGATGCTGAACATCCTAGGTCACGAAGCTTGAGAGAATATTGTTATCGGTGCAAACTCTCATTACTTAATAGCAGAATAAATATTAGGACAGGAGCAGTCCAATGTACAATGCCTTTTTGTCACATTGTGGAAGAGGTGTTTGGGGTTTAGAAAGGTGTTAGCATGAGGACCTTTGCTGGACTTCACTTTATCTTGAAAGTATGGACAAACTAACCAAACAAATCAAAACCAAAAAAGAAAGCTGAAAAGCCAATCTCTATCTCCCCCCAGCATTTTCTGAGTCTGTCTAGATAAAGTGCCAGCTGCTCTGTTTGTGCTTCTCTCTGATTTCTGTGGGTGCCATATGATCTGCTCCAGCATCCACCTCTTATCTCTAGTCCAAGTGAGTTTCCCATTCCACTCTGTTGAAGTGACTCTGGAGGGATCCTAAAGGAGAGACCTTTTGGTAAGGGAGAACAGGTTATGTCATGCACCTGTCAATGCACCAACCTGTTAGTGAAAGTAACTAGGGAATATCAACCTCTAATAGTGCCTTTTCCTCTATTTTTTTTTTCTGATAAGGATGCAACAGGTAGAGGATCAGACTTTCTGATTGTTAACACTCTCAAAAGCTTTGTAGTTCGTCAGCAGCAATTGCTTTGCTGCAATCAACAATTGGTAGCATTAGAGAAGAAAGGATTCCTTAAAAAACTCTTTTAGCCACAAATGATCTCTTCCCAATTTCCATATCCTTCAAGAGGGTCTCATGATATAGTTACAAATGTTTCATTAAACTCTACTCTTGAGCCATGGCTAGGGGAAACACTTAAGTACAGGGATTACTCCAAGCAGGTGAATCTTCCCAGCAAAACTGGTAGCATCAAATGCTTTGGGCTTCCCACTTAAGCCATTCATCAGTGTGATTCACTTAGATGCCTCAGAGAATAACATTAATAATGTAGAACAGGTAGCCGAGTTTTACCTGTCCAAAATTCCAAGGTCTACCGCGGATGTGGTCTGCTGATCCAACGTAGATGTATCCCATGTCATTGAGCACGTACTCGTTCCTTTCAGCATCGCCAGCCATGAACACAGTATCCTCTGGAACAAAAAAACCCACAAGATACTTACCTGGTCGTCACACATATGCTCTAGGAAGCTTTGCTTGGCAAGTAAAACTGTGGAAATTGGTGGCTGGTAACATTTACATCAGCTGATGGCCATATCAACACTCATACTTCTCTTCCTCTGGTGGAAGAATCAACTAGAAGACTACTACTCTTTTTGTTTCTACAGTAATGTTTTATAGTAGGAAAATGCTTCATTTTGAATAAAGGTTTATACATAGTGGACTATGTGGACTACAGAGAGAATTGGAGCTTGTTGCTATTGCCATTTTACAGCTAGCTCCATGATGATGCACTTGAGGTGTATTAGGGAGAAAAAGAGTTGTACCAAGCAAAGAGAAGAACAATATGAGGAAAAGTTCTCCTCAGCACAGTCTCTGGTGACAGTATAATCTGCAATCACCAGATCTCTCTCCTTACCTTTACACCAGGGGTTGAACAAAAGGTAGACAGCATCATTTTCAGGCTTATAGCTGTTCGACCCCGTCACCACCTTCAGGCTGTATTTTCCAACGATGGCATTGGGTGGACTGGTCACAGTCACCAGGCACTAGGGAGAAGATGAGGAGAGGGTGGCAGATCCTTCACGATAGCAACAGTCACAGCACAAGCAAGCCTGTGTGAGGCCAGCACAAGCACTGATGCTAGTAACCATGGCCGTCTGGGCTGCATGAAGAGGGGAAAGGGTCAAGGATGGGGCAGCTCTTGTGTATGGGGTGGCAGAGCAGTGAACCAAACATGACACTGCTCATCATGGAAAGCTAGCAGGAAACCAGGATGGAAACATGAGAATTTGTTCTGCAATTCCCAGCAGACCCATCAAGGCTCCTCACGGGGTGCCAGCAGAGGCAACACTGTTTCCCCCCACTGTTGACCCACATGGAAGCAGCACGTCCATCCATAGGCTCTACCTCTTTGTTGGAGGACGTGATAATGGTGGCACGCCAGCCGTTGCAGCTCTTCCCAGACCTCAGGTTCAGGGAGATCAGGGTCCCCTGGTTCTTCATTGGCTTATCCCCTGGGAGCAAAAAAAAAAAGTGAGCCACATGAGCTGGCAGCGCCACAGCGTCTAATGGCCAGAGCGAGTAGACGGACAGCAAGGTGCTACCTTGTGCCACCATGCACAACCGAATCACATGGGGGCTTGCCTGCTTTGCCCAGTGCCCGAGTGACCCACTTCCTCACCGATGCTGAGCTGCAGCTTCAGCTTGTCGCTGGCACTCAGCTCCTTGTTGAACAACAGCTTCATCTCGATGCCCTGCCCGCGTCTCGCCACCAGGCTTTGGTTTTCGTACGCATTGGTGTGATGCAGGCGTGTGTTCTTGCCTTTGAGGAAGTCAACCCCAGTGACCATCAGCTGGGGCTCTAAAGAGCTGTCGACTGAGAGGGAGACAAAGAAAAAGGTTCAGTGAGAAACTGCAGTAAGGACAATTTTAATCTTTGTAATGGAGCTTTGTGGATAACAGAAATGTCTGTGGGAACTACATCAAGGTGGTGTAACAACCAGCAGGACCTCCTGTCCTGAGCACTGAGCACCTGACACTGCAATCCAGGAGGCCACACTGGCCAGAAATGATCCTCCATACCATGGCCTTTGAGAAAGCTGATGGCAATGAAAATGATCAACACCTAAACTCTACAGAGACAGAGCAAGCAGATATTTTAAATTCCTCTGTGTTTGTTAATCTGAAATATTGGCAGATGGTTAGAGTAATGCCTGGGAGCATGGGTCCTGCACCCAGAGGGCTTGGGGCTTTATGTCACCCTTGTATCCAAATGGTGCTGGGCCCATGCGAAAGAGGTAGCAGCTCCAAAACACTCTCCTGTGACATGGAGGAGCTGCTCTACCGCAAGGTGAAATTCATCTTGACATAAAAACACAAGTGTTTTTCTTGAACCTGTGAAGTGGACACCCGCAGGAACCATCTCGGACTTCTTCCCTGTGAAAATGCACTTTTCTCCTCTTGCTTTCTTTGACAGTATGCAACGTGTATGGGTGTGCACATGTGCGTACATGCAGAAAAGGCTACACATATACTACACATGTGTATGTAGACACACACAGTATAGAGTAGTTAAGTGCCCGCAAAAGATATTACTCCACTGACCACCTCAGTGCAGTTTTGCAGGTTTAGCCCTGACGTGAATGTCTCCCTAATCCTGGTTTTCTGCCCATGTGTGGACGGGAACCTCTTCTGATCTTAGCAGCAGTTGTGAATGATACAGGCCTAGAAATTAGTCCTTGTTGTTGGGATTTTATTTCCCTGTATTTCCCTCTGGCCAAGGGCTGGTTTTGTGCTAGCACTGAGCACATCTCTAATAATTATCAAGTAGTAATTAATGGTAGCTTTAATTGCTCCTTTCCAAATGTGATGCATGCAGTCAAGATGGAATTGAACAGCTGAAATTCAGGTCCCCTGAACTGCTGGGTCCCAAAAGCCTCAGGGAAACCAAGGGACTGAGAAGGAGCTGATTCGACATACTTCCTCTCAAACATTCATCCGATAATATCACAGCAGTAGTTAATCAGCCCTCTATGGGAGTCTGTGCTTGTGAACTATTGCAAAAGTTTTGTTCATTTTTTTCAACAAGAATTTGGCTTTCCCATAAAAAGCAAGAAACAAAGGAAGGTTTGGGAAGGAGGCAGCTCTGCCTGCAGAGCAGAGGGCAGGATAAACTTGGGGGCAGCACTGCTTCTGCCATTTGAACTTGCCACAGTTTTGAGACCCACCAAGGCTCCTCACCGGGTGCATCACCCTAGCACAGGGTGCCCCGAGGCGACCACGAAAGGTAGCACATGCCAGAAGCTGGTGAGCTCCCTCTCTCTATGGAGGTATCTAAGCTGTGTCATGTCTATACTCATCCTCATCCGCCAATTAACCCTAAGGGATAAGTGCTCTGCAAACAGCAGGGAGTAGCAAGACCTCTTGGCTCACAACTGATTCAGACAAAGGTATGGGAGAGTCAGGAAATTAGAAAGGGCTTAAGGTGCCTTAGAAAAAGCCATGGCTGAAGTATAATGGTTAATGGGAGAGGGATTAGTTCCTAAAATGTCTCTGCAGATTTGCACGGTATCTGAACATGAACAAGAGGCAGTGCTAGAGTTGAAGAAGCTGAAATGCGCCAGTAACTCTTGAAAACAAATTTATATTAATTGCGTAACAGTTATCAGAAGTCTGATAAATATACACCTAGTTAGGCAGCCCTTTTTGTTCAGTTTTTGAGTGTTTTTTGTTGGCTTGTCTTCATCAGGGCTGAAATGACCTGAGCCAGATGCCAACCTGCAGCTGACCATTTGCACAACAGCGTGTGGATATGTCAACATTTTCAACTGGAGTTGCTTAACTGGCTGAAGAAAGAGGAAGGGGAAGCATGCTTTTCTTCGAATTAATGGATGTCCTTATAGAAGTGGAGCTTCATCGATTCCTCGGAAAAAACCTCATGTGCTCTCTGACTTTGGGGCTGGGCTGCAAAGCTACTGGAAGATGGCCCTGGAGATGAAGAGCCATGGAAATGAGAGGCAGCCTCCCACTGCATCCCACGCTGTGACCAAAGGCAGGTGGACCAAGGTACCCTGCATTTCTAACTTAGGGGCTGGACTCAGTTTGACCCCCCTTAAATTTTTTCAGTGATACTTTGGGGCATAGCTGATATTGTGGACACATTTCCATGGACACCCCATTTCCATGAGTTATCCTCTCTGCAGCTTTTCCCAACACTTCCCCACTGGCCCCACATTTCGCTGCCTTTCTGGGGAGGCATCCAGAGCCCCATGGGCACAGCAAGCACCCAGCCCAAACACGGGGGCTGGAGGGCTTTGCGTGGGGAAGGATTTTGCCAATTCCTCCAAGATGAGCTCTGCTGTTCTGTATCCTGCCCATGGATCCAGAGGTTGGAGCCAGGGTTGACAGCGGCTCCAGAAGCTTGGAGTCACAACCAGTTCGTCACTCCCTTAGCTGCAGCACCAAGTGCTCTGAGTGTGTGTAGGGGACTAAAAAGCAGAAACATGGAGCAGAGCAGCTGTGCCACGCCAGGGTGTTCGGGTGCCCGTGGTCAGACTGGCCCCACGGGCACCACCAGCCATCGCGGCTCAGAGGCTGCATTGGCGGGTGACTGAAGCACCTCTCCAGGTAATTGCAAAAGCTTCTGGCAATAGCAGAGGGAAGAAGGCCACGGGCCAAAGAAATAACATTCTCATTTGTTCTGAAGCATTTGTCAAGTGGTATCAGCTATCACTAAAAAACAATAACCTGCACGGTTAAGTAGCCTGAAAGAAAGAAATTCCTCTCAGCCTGACACAGAACAACTTTTCTAAAAGCTGCATTTCTCTTTCTGTTGTATCACTGAGAAAGCTATGGATTCCCCGGCATGAAAAACGATGAAAATCAGGCTGTATTTTTCAGATTTACCAGTCCAACAAAACCACAACATGCACATCTAGAGCAAGCCCATCCCCAGCATGTGCTATTCTCCAGTTACACAGAAACACTTTTCTTCAAGGTCCCATCCGTGCCATGGGAAAGCCTGAAACGCCTGCTGGAGCACCAATCCTCGCTGCCAAGCTGCAGATCTAACACGCATTGTCTTTAAGTCACATTGATCATTAAAAACTCACCGGGTTGTTGGTTCATGTTGCTTGCTGGTGTTTGACCCAAAGCGTCTGCAATGCGAGTGGTTCCTTCTGCCACTTGCTGCTCAGCCTGAAGAAGGAAGGCAGCTGCCCCTTTTATCTGTCTCCAGCTATGAGGTGTCAGCAGGTCCAATGCCAAGGGTGGTGTTTAGCAAAAGGAAGTTCCCATCAAAAAAAAAAAAAAAGACTCCAACTCCCTCTGCACATAGTCAGACCCTGAAGAATAGCAAAACTTAAATCCCAACTCATGTGAAAGGTGACTTTGCACAACGGGGTAATGGCTGGTGGACGAGCCCTTCACTGACACAACGGTGAAAGTATGGATGGGGTTGGATGAGGAATAGGAATGCACTTATGCCATAACATTCAGGTCATGAGAACCATAATTCCCAGATTACCCATAAAAGTCTGCCTGCGAACATACAATTCTTAAGAAAACAGAGTTGCCATGAGGACAACAAGATACAGGTCTCACTTTCTTTGACTTTGTTGTTGGGTTTGGGCTTGCAGCAGTTGAGGCTGGAGGGTAAAATGCAAGATTTGTACCCGTTGGTTGGAAAACGTGAGGAGCTGGGTGCTGGGTGCCCTTTCATTAGGAGGCAGGTCCAGCTGTTGCAGTGGGCTGGGAAAGAGAAGAGACACACTGTACCCAGGAGGAGAGAGGGACCCGGTGGGTCGAGAGTTGTTTGGCTGCCATGTGCTGACAATTCTCTTGAGGTCCTGGCCCTGGAGGTAGTGGATGGCTGGGCTCTAGTTGCCCGTCATCTCCCTGGGGTGCCCTGGGATGAGCTGATTACATGGGTGGACACCTGCACAGCACATTGGCCTGCAGCAGAAGAAGATGCAACCAGGTTCCCAAATGCTCAAAAGCAAAGGAGAGGCCCAGCAGGGAACCAGTCCCATCAAAGGCACTGCAGAATCCACTCCTTGAGGTCCTCTGCCTTATGGCAGTCTCATATCCAGTCTAGCTGCAAGGTTGAGTTCAGCATGGTACATTTTGGCCAGCAAAGTAAGACTCAATCTGCAGGACTTGCAGGTAGGGTCTTCCTAAACATGATCTCCCCATGGAAGCCTCCCAAGGCACCAGCTTGTCTCTATTGGTATTTGCTTTAGAAAAGCTCAATTGGTGCTTGAAATGCTCCATTTGGTGCTTGAAATGTAGGTACAAGCTGGGTGTAGAGTGAGCAGATGCCACCCTTCGTGCATGTCGTTGCTTGCTTGATGACCCCACTTGAGAGCGTGACTCTATCACGTTGCGAGGCACCAGCGGCTTGGCACGCATCTGTACCCTTGCAGTGCATCTGTACAAACACCCTAACTGCCAACACTGTTAATAAGTAAGTCAAGCATCACTTACCACTCAAAATCAGGCAATATGCTGGCAGCTACATATTTTATTACTTGGAAAAAAATCACTAAATTCTCAATTAATCTTCCAGCATTGCTATCGTCCTGCGTTTCTTTCATCCTAGAAGGTGAACAAAATTTTTGTTTAGAACTAGCCTGAGTTTAAGCTTTGTCGAAGTCATCTTAAATTGTGCTGACACATTGGTCCTACAGCAGAAAAATATAGATTTTTTTTTTTGTGAATAATTTTTGCTCTCAAAACACTTTGTTCTTGAAAAGATTCCAGGTAGGTGCATACTGGAAGGTCAATGGTGGAGGCAGGGAATGCAGGGTTTTGCAAAAGGCTGTTATCAACGATATGCGTGTTCTCATCCTCA